GTGCACTTTAGAGCGTTAAGGCGCAAAAATTATGAAAAAAAGGTGTACCCCCCCCACACACACACACGAATCCGTTAGTGTCTGTGTAGGTGTTTAATCTACAAAACAATAATGAACTATCTTCTGTGTGAATAATTTAACTAAATATATATATATTTACTTATTTCCTTCAGAACATTTCTTAAATGGATACAGATATGTTTCAGCTGAAGAAAACTAGGAAACTAAAACTAATCATAAGAATAAAGCCTAAGATTTATCAAATATGACCAACTCCAAAGACACAATTAAATAACATAAAACGAATCAACAGCAAACAACAAGACCATGTTTTTCTAGGTTTTACTAAAAATGTGTACAACACATCCAGTGCTGTCAATAAATTTAACTTCTGTCCTCACACTTAAACACTGTAAAATTTGAATAACTTACCCTAAATTTTCTTTGATTATTTATATTTATCAGAATGATAAATTTCTTATTAAACTAAAGTAATAACCAACAGTCTTTATTTATTATTATAAGACAAAGTAGTCTTCAAAAAGAAGTATCTATAAAAAAAAAAATACATTTTCAGAGAGGATTTCTAATTAAACCAGACCTGGTGCAAGAACAGACAAATAATTGTAATCATTGTTTTGCAGGGAGGATTTCTAATTAAACCAGAAAACGTGTAAGAACAGACAATTATCTGTAATTATTGTTTTGCAGGAAGGATTTCTAATTAAACCAGAAAACGTGTAAGAACAGACAATTATCTGTAATTATTGTTTTGCAGGAAGGATTTCTAATTAAACCAGATCAGATGCAAGAACAGGCAATTAATTGTAATCATTGTTTTGCAGGGAGGATTTCTAATTAAACCAGACCAGATGCAAGTCATTAATCCTCTGTTGATTATTGCTTTCATTCCCCTTTTTGAGTACATAATCTATCCAGTAACAGCTAAATGTAATTTTTTAACCAGGTAGGATCTGTACAATGTTTGTTTTTTATATCTGTTTGTAAAAAAGTAATTTTGTAACAGGATATTTCATTTTAATACAATGTGATAATTCCTAATACAAGTAGAAATGCATGGAAATAAGAAATGGTTTCCATTTCCACGTATTTATTTAAAAAAAAAGAAGAAATTACTGATTAATTCTATATTTAAACTATAATTTATAATATTCTTTTGTTTATACCTAAAGATGGTTGCACACTTCACATCAAAAAGTAAGTTTACTCATTGGCAAACATTTCGTTGATAAATTGCACCATAAATCACACTAAACAATTTACAGACATTCAAGCAACAAGTTGTTCTAAATAAAGCATTCAACAGAAAATACATAAAACTGAAAAAACAAAGCAGGTTAAAACTACCAAAAGGAAACACACACTTTAGTGTTCTAATATCTTATTGTTTGGCATGAATTAATTAAATTTATTTAGATAACTTAAAAGTTGCACATGTTGAATTTTGTCTACCCAGTAATTGAATAAAAAAACAATAATACATATCATTTTTTCTCTAATAATACGTTTTAAACTATCAAATCATTAACACTATCCTCTATGCTACATTTTCAGTAATGTATTTCATATACACATAAGCAGACTTTTAATTGGATCTACAGTACATCTCAAAGCCTCACTTCTGTTGTCCTATGTTTATCCTAAGGTGACAGTGATGAGCCTTCAGTGTCTTAACATGGACAAAACTCTGTAAAATGTGCTTTTAAGCCTTTCTTTGAACCATTGCATTCTTGTGCACGTTCATCTTCTCAGAATTTATTCAATAATTTTCTTTCTTCAGACCTCTCCAGAGAATTGCTGTTGGAGGCCTCTTAACTGCTTCCTCTTTTGTAATTGCTGGCTTCCTGCAACTCAGAATTGAGGTAATGAGACAATTTTCCATAAATCTTTTGTTTTTCTTTCTTAGAGAGAAATACATTAAAAGAGGTGTGGACAAGAGCCTACTTATATATATTGATTGGGACCTTATATTTTAGAATATTTTATATAAATGAGAATAACCAATATCACAAAAAAAAATTAACTTTCAGAAAGTGTAATCAAAATACCCTTCAAGTAGAGTAGCTTAGAATATAGCAGTTTGTTTAGTTGAAAAACTTTCATTTCATTTTAAACATGTTTACAGAGTACGCTTCCTGTAACTCCAGCATCAGGGTTTGCTCAGTTTGGAGTCATCAACACACTGCCTTGTGAACTTGATCTTGCAATCCTTTCTAGTAATGTCACAATGAAACAAATGAGGTAGGTTGTGTATTTATATAAAATACCTCACCTTGTAAACCTGCATATAATTGGACTAATACAGATAATTATTTATCTCAGGATTATTTATACTAATTAAATCATCTATCTATCTATAAGTTAAAGCAAAAATTTCTGGGTTTATGCAATGTTTCAATAAGCCTATTTTTATAAAAATATAACCCCCCAAAAAAAAATTAAATTTACAATGCTGCATACATTAAAAGTATCCCCAAGGTACAGACTACGATGTTGGATATAAAATGTGGGTTTTGGAGGTTACTGCGGAAGTAAGAATCACATTGTGGTGGGGATGCACCATCTATCAGTCTTAACCTCTGTTCGCCAGTCTCACATGAAGAAATTCATTAAAGAAAATAAAAAAAAAACATCAAAGAAATACAAGTTAGGAGAGTGAGATTTGGGTGCTCAAGCCCGCAATGTCGCACATCTATGTCATCCTTCACTGCCTGCAGACAATTGTTTGGGGGTGAGTTGGGGTGACTGCTCTCCAAAGTAAAAGAAAGAAAAATGAAATAAAGTACTACTACTTGGAATAAGTAAGATAAACCTGCCTCCTGAGGTTGGCATTCCAGGCTCCAGCCCCCATTGTAGTAGTGAAGCACTAATTTAACTTAGTTAGTAGTACAGTAGATAAATTATACTAGAATAGTTATAAAAGCCCAACCAAGTTACCTAATCTAACTGGTATACCATCCACCACCCATTAAGTCCACTGCAACTACCAATTTTCAGCTTTTACCTGAGCATTTATATGTGATAAGGTGTTCATCCACATAAAAGTAGTGCCAAGTTGTTTAAGCAACTTTATTATAAACTAAATATACTTTTCAGAAACATCCAGCAAAAAGTCCTTAATTTTTACTTCTATATATATTTACTTAATACATTTATCACAAAATATTTTAATAATTTTATTAGAGTTTATATAATGAATTCATTGAATATTAATTTTTGCATCAATATTTCAACATTAATAATGAAATACTGTAATTTATTACAAAATCTGAATAACTGTGAAGCTATAATACTTAGAACAGAAGAGTATGGCACATTACTATTAAAAGAGGGTAAGCCGTATATTGTAAAAGAAAAATATTTTCTTTTATCCAAAATATTTAGATTGATATCATTATCAATTATTTTAATTTCTAGATCTATATAATGTAGGCACATTATCTCAAATTGAAGTATTCTACTGGATAAATAGTGTTGGTGAAATTATTTATCTCAGGATTATTTATACTAATTAAATCATCTCTAAGTTAAAACAAAAATTTCTGGGTTTATGCAATTTTCAATAAACCTATTCTCATAGAAATAAAGATATAAACTTTTCAATACAAGTAGATTAGTTAGCTCCAATTAGAATTCCTATTACTTGTTTAAATACCTGGTTATTGAAAAAAAACATAATTATTATAAATACAGAAACTTAATATATCTTTTTTGGAGCTAAATTTTCTTTCTTCCAGTACTACGAAAGGATAATAGAATTGTTCTATTAATGAACTCATAACAGAAATTAAATATTTCAATGTAATTGTGGTATACAGTGTGGTAAAATCATATGTTTGAATATTTTTTTAAGAATTTCTTCATGTAAGACTAGTGAACAGAGGTTAAGACTGATAGTCAGTGTATCCCCCACTGCAATGTGGGTCCTACTTCCTCAGTCACCACCAAAATCCAGGGCACATTTTATGGCCCACATTATAGCCTATACCCTAAGGATCCTTTTATTTATGCAGCATTTTAAATTTAATTTTGTTTGGACTTGTTTTGTTCATTAAAATGTCGTTTACCACAGGTTTGGATTTGCTGTTTTTAATGCAGTCCTTCCTTTTGATTTTATTTTGTTTGACTGTTTATATATACACATACACAAGCAAAAGTACCTGTCCCCAGTGATGGGAAAAGATTAATTTAAACTAACAATTTAAATTATTTCATGAACTTTAAAAAGGTTAATTGTATTGCACTCTTGGTTTCACTCAGAGCCAAAGATCTGAGCTATTTAAACTGCCCACCATGAAAGTAATTGTTGAGCATTTCAATCATGCTAAGAGCTGCTCAACAATGATATATGGTAATTCTACATTTTTATTTGTTAAGTTATGTCATATTTTGAAATGTGAATGATAGTGTGATTAATTCATAATAATTTAATATAGAATATCCTGCTTGCCCAATAAAATTTGGCATCAACATTATTCATGCCTGTTATCCCATCATTTCAAAAGTGAATGTTGAGCTTTGCCTGCGTGTGCAGCTTTTCAAGTGGGAGAGAGACGAACGTTCAGACAGACATCATGGTTCACAATATATATATATTATTATTTGTCTTGTCACACTAGATAATAATAATAACTGCTATGGGAGATATCAATTATTATTTGTTTTGTCATACTAGATAATAATAATAACTGCTATGGGAGATATCAATTATTATTTGTCTTGTCACACTAGATAATAATAACTGCTATGGGAGATATCAATTATTATTTGTTTTGTCATACTAAATAAGGATCACTACTGCAGAAGATATTAATTATTATTTGTGTTGTCATAATTGATAAGGATAACTACTATGGGAGATATAAATTATTATTTGTCTTGTCATACTAGATAAGGATATTAATTATTATATGTCTTGTTGTAAGAAAGAAGGATAACCACCATGTGAGAATTTTAAATTAGTATTGTCATGCCAGATCATGGTGAGTGACTGGAATATCTACATAGTTGTTAACTTACAAACTTAGTGAATGTTTACCTTCATATTTGGAATTGCATTTCTTCACTGATTATATTCTGTATTTAAACATCCTCTAAGTGTAGTTGAAGTTACATCATGAGTTAATAAAAAAAATTGATGTAATTTTTGTAAATAACAGTTTTGAATATATTTCTATATTAGGTTTTCATTTGAATCCAATTAAACTGTGTAGAAATATTTCTTATTACGTATCAATTTGTAATAGGGTAAACATTTTAGAATCACTATCTCTTTTAATTTCCTTAAAACAGTGTTTTGTTATATTTCTTCTGTAGCTCCATATTCTTAAAGATGTGCAAGCTGGCATGGCTCAGAACCTAACATTTACCACAGATTCCTGCTTAAAAATTTCTGAAAAGAAAGAATACACGATCAATTTAACAAGTCAGCAGATACAGACGCTGTTAGTGACATCTGACAATGAGAATATTATATTTCACAAAGTGAGCTGTTTAAACAATTCAGAAGTTTGGTTTTATTAGTTGTTGTTTTTTTAAATCTTGTGTTTATCTAATATGCAAGCTAATTCTTTTTTAATATAAACTTCAGTCAATAGAAATTAGATAAACTTAATTTGTAAATTTCTGGTTTAACTTATAGACATCTTATTCCAATTTTTAAGCTTATTAGGATCATGTAAGAGTGTTTATAGGTTTAACCAAGTTGAAAGACTCAATTAATGTTCTAAGTAATCTAATAATTTAAAAACATTGCTTAAGACTTCAAGTGAAAAATATGAATATTTATATAACAAATTAGAGTGAAGTATTACTTGTTCTGGCTTCCTTTTTTCTTTCACTTAAACTAATAAAATATCTCACAATTTTCACTTTGTTTTGTTGACATAAAAGATATAACTTATCAAAGTGCTAATTAACTAAAAAATACATTCATGTTCTTAATGAGAGTGTTATTTTGACCATGAACAAAACTAGGGTTTAATGTCTCAGTATATGTTTCATCTTCAGACATTTCTTTGTTCATAATGTTTGCTTTCTTAGATGGAGGAAACTCTCAAAAAACCAGAGAAGGGTGAAGTGAACATTCGCATTGTATTCACACTGAGACAGAAACTGAAAGAACCACCTGTGATGAACAGTACTTTTAAAATTGTAGGAAAAGAAAAAGAATATTATCTCCCACTTAATTTTGAGAAAACCTCACCTACTGATGTAATTATAGGAAGCACAGATTATGAAAGAATCATACCTGGAGTGTAAGTTTATCATAGAAACATGTATTCTTACTTATCAGTAGTGAGTCTTCTATAAAAAACTAAACCTAAAGAGTAACTTTATCACAGAAACATGTATTCTTACATGTCAGTAGTGAGTCTTCTATAAAAACTAAATCTAAAGAGTAACTTTATCATAGAAACATGTATTCTTACTTGTCAGTAGTGAGTTTTCTATAAAAAACTAAACCTAAAGAGTAAGCTTATCACATAGAAACATGTATTCTTACTTGTCAGTAGTGAGTCTTCTATAAAAAACTAAACCTAAAGAGTAACTTTATCATAGAAACATGTATTCTTACTTATCAGTAGTTAATCTTCTATAAAAAACTAAATCTAAAGAGTAAGCTTATCACATAGAAACATGTATTCTTACTTGTCAGTAGTGAGTCTTCTATAAAAAACTAAACCTAAAGAGTAACTTTATCATAGAAACATGTATTCTTACTTGTCAGTAGTGAGTCTTCTATAAAAAACTAAACCTAAAGAGTAAGCCTATCACATAGAAACATGTATTCTTACTTATCAGTAGTGAGTCTTCAATAAAAAACTAAGCATAAAGAGTAAGCTTATCACAGAAACACACATATTTCATTTTCATATAATAGAGTTATTTAATCACAAATTTTAGTATTTGTTTAAAAAAAAATCTGAGTATATTTCTATTTGTGATGTATGTATTTTATTTATAAAAAAATTGGAAAACAATGATTTTGTTTGATTGTTTTGTATATTCTCATAAAGCTACACAGGGGCTATCTCTCTAACAGCCTCTAATTTTAATCTGACATACAAGAGGAAAGGAAACTAGTCAATAGCGCTCACCGCCAACTATTGGGCTCCTCTAACTGAATAATGGTATTTGACCACCACTCTTATAATACACATGTACAGCTATAAATTATGAAACTCGTTATTTGAGGTAAGGAGACTCTAATCTTGGCCCTTGGATTCATCATTTGGCACACTAAACAGTAGGTCACAACCTATCACTTTTGGTGAAACCCAGGATGAAGGTAATTACTAACCACCCAGCTATGCCCCTGTATAATATACCTTGGTCATTCAGTCCATTGATTCCACTGGGCTGAGCAAAACGTAAATTGATTTTCATCACTTACATAACATGGAATTAAAATGTAAAAAAGAGAATTAACTGTACCATTCAATGTTGAAAAATGCCAAATTTGTCAGTTGTTTATATAATTTTTAAACGAATACTCATTTCTATAGTTTTTTAATGATTTTTTGATCTCTGATATTTTGATATTTTACCACAGGTACAGTCTGTACATACCAGCAGCTAATGATTCGCTAGAAGAGAAATTCTTTCACGAGGACGAGGAAATTGGAACATTTGAAGTGAGAAATGGTGGAGGATACCTTGTGACAATTGCACCTGGGAACGGAACTGAAGGGGTAAATTAATTTTCTAGTAAAACCAAACACTTCTCCATTAACAATCAATAAAGCAATAAAATTATTTTTATACAGACTGGACAGTTAGCAAATGTTATTGCTCACTCGTTAAGGACTGGAGTTTGGTAAATTTCACTCTAATTCACTCACTCGTCATTTTCTTGAATTTTGGTAGATTTCACTCTAATTTTCTCTCACTTCATAGACTTAACTTTTGTAAGATTTCACTCTAATTTTCTCTCACTTCACAGACTTAACTTTTGTAAGATTTCACTCTAATTTACTCCTCGTCACTAATTTGACCTTTGGCAGATTTCATTACTCAAGCTTAATTGTCATCAACAGGATTGTTTCCAGAATTATTACTGAACATTCACTCACAACAGGTTAGATTTTTGATAAATTACACTACTAATATACTTACAACAGACTAGATTGTTGGTGGGCTGCACTACTGGTATACTCAGACTAGATTGTTGGTGGGCTGCACTACTGGTATACTCAGACTAGACTGTTGGTGGGCTACACTACTGGTATACTCAGACTAGACTGTTGGTGGGCTGCACTACTAATAAACTCACTATCACTGACATGGTTGTTGGTTGAGTTTTGATGATATTTTATAGTCAGTTAGTGATTTTTTTTTGTCTAAAAGTAAAATTTTTTGGAACTAAGTAACATTTACTTAGGAAAGCAATTAAGTTTGTCTCTATCTGACTATTTTGTGATGTCTTTTGGTATGTATTATTAAATCATATACCAATATGTATATAATCAATTGTTAGCCAAAATTCTTAGAATAGAGTGAATTTTTTCATAAAAATTGCATGTTATGAAATGTAGACACTTTTGTACGCAAATGCTCCAAGGCAAGAGAATGTATAATACTTTTAGTATCACTTTAGTCACCATGATTTTCCAGTCATTACACATTGTGCCACAGTGACACTGCTGATGATCTTTGGTATAAGTGTATGGTATTGTATAGTTCAATATTAAATTGTAATGGCTTGAGGTAGAAGTATTTTAAACCTAACACAATAATAATTCTATTGATTTAGTCTTAGAAGATCGTTTACGAAGGCATGCTAGTTATATATTATTTAATCTTTTCTTCATTTCATTTGCTTGAAATCAGCTTGAAATTCAACTACACACCATTGTCCAACCCAACGAAATCTCCATGTTCCTGCAGATTCCACAGTACTTGGTTATCACAATGGGAGAAATCATGTTTTCGATCACAGGTCTTGAGTTTTCTTATTCTCAGGTTTGTATCACAGTCTAAATATTTAATTAATTAACATTTTATGAAAATATAGGTGTCTTAGCATTCCCATGTTAGATTTAAAACTGTCAAAGGTATCTAGACACCTTCGGAATATAAAAGATGGTTCTCTAAACTTGTTGTACAAGGAACACGAGTGAGTGCCAATACAGAAACATGTTAGACAGGTAAAACAGTTGTGCTGAAGTGTGTAGAAGTTACCAAGTCTTAGGAAATTTGGTAAAATTGAAGGAGTATAGGATGATAAAAGTATGGAGTGGTCTGATTGCTACTTTAGTGTGATACAAAAACCCTCCATCATTTGAACCTTGATGATTGGTGACAGTTTTGTTTAAAGTAAAAGTTGTCATCCACTCATTTTCAAAGTGATGTTTGCACTGTGCATAAAAATGAGCAGTGAACAAGTTTATTTTGATTGTGCTATACTGGAGATGTTATGATATGGGAAATATTCTGAGCACTGGTGTAAGACTTATCTGTGAACTGTGAATATTAAAAACTTTGACCAAACGAGTTCCATTGGCCATGGCTAAGGTTTCGGTCGGTCAGCTGTCCTAACAGCATAATGTTTTCTGCAACAAAGCACAAACGACTTATAGCTGATTTCAAATTAACAAATTCTACCTTTTGGAATGACTTGTCCAGAGCCTAGATCTTGATGGTATACATCAATTTGGTACAATGTGGAAAGGTTTGTTGTAAAGATTGGACAACATTTTTCATATATAATGAATATATATATATATAACAATATAATGAAATTGTATCAGTCATCAGTAAAAATCTTTATCAGAGTATGTTTAGCTGAATTTCTGTAGTTAATCAAGTCAGGATAGGTTGTACGGACATCATAAGAGACCAGTGATAATTTACTTCCCCCTCTGTAACTGTTTGGATACTTTTGGCAGAATAATCTCTAAGGAGCTCAGATATTAATGAAGCATTAAAAATAGATACAGAAAAGAAAGAGCTGAAATCAAATGTCGAATTAAATTGCTGATTGCAAGGAACCTCATTGGTGACAAAGACCTTAAAGTTCAAATTTAAAACCCAATAGATTGTTCTTAAACACGAATTCTAAACCTTGACAATGCTTTACTGTTTACTTAACAATAATGTTTACTTTGATCTTGTTCCTTCAGTATAATACAACTGCTCTTTTGTTAGTTAAAAAAATATATTTTCTTAATGTTGCAGGTGAAATTAGTGAGAAATGTTTTAATTTTTTTTTTTTTACATGACTCAAAATATACGTAATCCTATATATTTATCAACGAAAATAATAAAAAGTCATAAGCAAGTAATACAAGTTTTTTACAAAGACTTCTTTAATACTGATTGTAACATAGCATTAAAGACTTTTAACCATGAATTTGTTTACCCCTATCTAAAAATGTATAATATAAACACGTAAATAACTCTGATTAGGATCCAAGGAAGTTTTTATTTCTGCTTCTATCACCTCTTAGCTATTATTTTTATGGACGTAAAAACTTGATCAAAGTTTTAGCAACCAAATATTATATACAAAAATTAGCTCGCCGTTTTTTGTGTTTTTTTTTCGTTTTCATGTAACTCCTCAGTGACTCAGCAGTAAATCTGAAGGCTTATAACGCTAAAGACTGTTTTTTTTTACCCATGGTGGGCACAGTACAGATAGTTATGTGCTAAACAACAAACAGGCAAACAAACCTTTTCATGCAGTGTGTTTGTAAAGATAATGGTCTGATAATTAATATGCTCTACTTGTAGGTTGCGGGGTCGAAATCCGTTGCCAAATATGCTCGCTCTTTCAGTTGTGGGGACGTTATAATGTGTCGGTTAATCCCACTGTTCGTTGTTAAAGAGTTGCCCAAGAGCTGTTGATAGGACCATAAGCGGTATTGACTAACTGCTTCCTCGTAATGTGTCACTTCAAAATTATAGAAGGCTCTCGCAGATAGTCTTAGAGTAGTTTTGCGTGAAATTCAGCAAACGAGTATGTGTTTTACTATCACTCTGGTGGAAATATGTGTGTAAATTAGGTTATGTAAATATGTTGCAGAGTAAATGTCCAGATTACTTGTGGGCTCATGACTTTGTTGGTTAGAGGGTTCCTAGTAACATACGAGTCACACAAAACATGAATAAAAAATACCATCAATTCTGCAATTAATCCTGCTATATATTACTGGAGACCCTTATACATTTTACCATGAAAATAATTGATTTCATTCAAAAAAAACTTCAACGATTTTATTTACGATGTAAATGTAAAATTATTCAGCATGGTGTAACATGTAGACCCCTCCAGAGGCCAACGATTGAAAAATAAGTCCGTAGTATAACAGTTATTACACACGGCTCAAACAAGTAAAACATCAATCCCTTAAATATTTGTTATATTATCATTCTAGCGCCTCTGCTGATTATTTGTGATTCCTCTAACTATTTGTTTATTATTCCCAGGCTCCAGTGTCCATGAAGTCAGTGCTGCAAGCTGCATGGCTGTTAACAGTGGCTTTTGGGAACCTCATTGTAGTAATCATTGCCAAACTTCACTTGTTTAATAAACAGGTAAGGTTTAAAAAAGTATTTCTTTGTAAATCTTTTAAGAACAGCAGTGTCTCATTTTTGAGTACTAAATCGTTACACTTGATTTTATGAGCTGTAGACTGAATTTTGAAATGTAGGACTAAATATATAGCATTGCATTGTATAACAAGAGAATGAACGAATTACACTTATCTGTGAATGCTGAAAAACAATGAAATTAGAATGTAGAAGAAATTGTCGCTCAGGGGATGACAAACCTGGAACATCTTTGGCACCATTGATCAGAGCTAGTGTCTGATTGAATCAACTTCTCTGTTATTCTGTAAACGTCACAATATTGATACAGGCCCTGACTTTATGGAGCACATTTTAGATGTTCTAGAAGACTGTTTTGTAGAAAATTATGCCTCATTCTTCAGTTAGCGCAATGCAAAGTTCTCTGACGTCATTTGGTAGGCTAAAGCGTTCGGGTATGCAGCATCCAAGGAAGTTTCCAGAAGGATTCCGCAGGATTTACTTCTGATCTTCTTCCTGATCAATCTGCGACATGTGAAATATCTTCTTCCAGATCAGTTCTGGTAGTTTTACACCATGAAGAATTACGCACTGAGTGAAGACGTCTCTGAAAGGTCATACAACTGGGCTCAGCATTCTAGCCCCAATATATCAATATATATATTTTCGATCTGGTATATCAACTAGCAGCATATCAGTTCAATATATCAGCTAGCAGCGTAACTGTCCAATATATCAAATGCCAGCATTTTCGATCTGGTATCTCAACTAGCAGAATATCGGTCCAATATATCAGCTAGCAGCATATTGGTCCAATATATGTGCTAGCAACATATCGGTCCAATATATCAACTAGCAGCATATCGGTACAATATATCAACTAGCAGCATATTGGTCCAATATATATCTGCTAGCACCATATCAGTCCAATATATCAACTAGCAGCATATTGGTCCAATATATGTGCTAGCAACATATCGGTCCAATATATATCTGCTAGCACCATATCAGTCCAATATATCAGCTAGCAACATATTGGTCCAATATATCTGCTAGCAACATATCGGTCTAATATATCAACTAGCAGCATATCCGCCTAAGTATATGAACTAGTAGCATATCAGCACAATGTTAAAGTAGTATCATATTCGTCATAATATATGAATTACCAGCATTTCCACAATAATTATCAACTATTAATATATCTGTCCCATTGTATCAACTACCAGCATGTATGGGTATATCCGCTCAGTATATCATCAGCTAATAGTATATCCACCCAATATTACAAATAACAGCAATTTTGTCGCAATATATGAACCTCCAGTATATCTACCCCAATATATATACCAACTGACAGTGTATTCATACCAATGTACCAATCAACAGCCCCCCTCCCAATCTCATATTCTCAAAAAAACAAACAGATCTGTAACTGGAAAACCATTGAAATGGTCATATTTACAACGTTGCACTGATCAGTATAGTGTTAAATAATCCTTACTCCAATTCTGATCGTTGTGACAAATATAATTTATGAAAATTACAATTTCCAAATTTAGCGTAGCTCACATCGTAATAGTTATTATCAAGCAATATGCTGATATAAATAGCATCTCAGCCACTGTCATATACCAGCCGCCCTGATATTGGGCGTAAGGCCACGTTGGCACTGGATATAGCAGATATAGTGTGGTTGACGTGTTATTATACACTCTTCTTTAGAGTCACTTAAGTTCTCATTGATAGGATCGTTCTCTTCTAGCATTCCAGACAAGAAGTCATTGATAATTGGTGAAGTCATGAAACATTCCAGGCTCGTCTGTAAAGAGTTTAGTGCGCAGAAACGTTGCTAGTCATTCTAATGACCTTATTGAAAGCTTAAACGAGCTGTTTGGTTAATTGCAAGACAAGTTTATTCTCGCATTACGCCAGATTCATGACGTCAATTCCTATCACTCCAACTGCTTTCCAAAAGCCGATAATTCCTAGTAGTCACGTTATACAGTTATTCGTGACGTAGTTGGCTTTGTCCAGTTTGTTTATTGCACTTAACCAATTGTCTGAGAACGCATTCACTACGAACCTGGATTCACAGTAGTAAGTCTACACTTGTCTCCGAGATTTCCTATCTCCAACATTTGAACAGCTATGCCAATCTTTACTTAGCTTTTAAACATAACTAGTAGGTAGCGCTTTCAGCCAATTAGAAGGGAGCAATAACCACAAATGAGGCAATCTCCAAGGCATCAGGAAGCAAATGGTTAACTCTAAAGACGAAATGTTTTTTTAGGATTGGTAGAAGGTGCAAAATGCATTGAAACAGCAATAACCACAAACGAGGCAATCTCCAAGGCACCAGGCAGCAAATGGTTAACTCTAAAGACGAAATATTTTTTTAGGATGGGTAGAAGGTGCAAAATGCATTGAAACAGTTTCGCACTCTCTTAACAAAACTCGTGAAAAGTGCACATGGTTAATGACACATCGATTTTTTAGAACTGTAAATATAAATGTAATATCCAAACTGAATAAACATTTTCTCCTTTATTTATTTATTTAATGTTAACATCCACTAGTTCTACTTTACTTACATTATTATTCATGATGTGTATGCTTATCAAAATATTGTTCAGCTTAAGAAGAAAATCAGAAGTGTTAAAAATAGGAAGTCTTTCTACTTTAAAAAAATAATTTGTTTGTTATCATTATTGTAGTCTTTAGAGTTCTTCATGTTCGCTTGTCTTATGGCTGCGGACATGGTGATCTTTGCCATAATGGGATACTTCTATAAGTACGTAAACCAAGATCAGGAAGAAAAAGAAGCCATAGAATTGTCCCAGAAAAACAGAAAACCTGTATCAAATGGAGTTCGAAACGAAGGCTGTGAAGACGACACACATATTTGATGGCCACAAGCGTGTGTGAGCACTGCGACAAACGGTGATTGACTTCCCATTGAAGACATTAACTGTAAACAAAGACGATTTGGTAATAAATATCGACGTTAAAATTCACAAGAACGCCTTGTAGTACGTTATGTGATAACTAAATTTGTTTTACCCTGTTAAAATATAATTATTTAAACAATATAACTCTGTTAAATTTCGCCTGAGCCTTTTTTCTGTTGTTGTTTAACAATGTTCATTCTAGTCTACTAATATATTCCCCCCCTCTAAGAAGGTAAATTCAAAGATTTACAATTATCTGTGGAAATACAGTAAATCATTAATGAATTAACATTATTGGATTTGTTTAAAATACATAGCTTTTTTTCTGCACGTTAAATGAAATCAGATGTTCAACACTAAGTATTTGTTTTATGTACGTTTTAAAACTGCCATTCTGATTTTTATATGTTTACCCTGAGGATATATAGTTTATGCCTTTAATAGCGCACTCATTATTCTTTGAAATAATACTTATCTCAGTATAAACAACTGTATAGAAAGAAATTGAAAACTGATTGTGTACCATACAAAAGAGTATGATTTATTCATTGTGTATTTTCGTACCACGAAACCAAACTATGATTATTATTTTAACTATAGAAAATAAATATATTTCTACTAAATTCTCCTGTCTTACAGTAGAGCATTCTAATAATACACTTTGCAGCTATATTTGCAATGTAAAAATTTGATCAGTGTAAGTACACGAAACAATTGATAAAATCCCATAACGTTGCAGCCATAGTAAATAAAAAATACACATACGGTAAGAAACCTAGGGCTCTTTCACTTAACGAGGACAACATACATATATTAACATAAAGTACTTAAAATACAGTCTTGGCCAAAATATTTGTATATTTTGTAACAAATAATATCATTATTATCAAGATGGAATACAAATACACTTAACGCTGTCAAACTGAGAAATGCGTGTTATATTAAATATCTACATATGTAACTTGTATAATGAGACAGGATCTATGGGCATCATGAACGATTCACTAGAACAGCAAACAATTTTATCAAATATCTGTAGAAAAATGTGTAATTCAGCATTTCATGTATCACAATAAAACTTTACCAAACGTATATAGTAAAGAAATATAGCATCAAATTATTATAAATAGCGTCTGTAACCTTATATCAGTTCATATCGAACGTTAAGTACTTGGTTGATCCTCCTCGTATTCTAATAACCTCCGCAAGGCAACGTGGTATGTTGTCGATGAGGCTCTTGATGTAATCCACCGTGATTTAATCCCAACTTGTCACTAGAAGGCGTTGCAAATCAGCTACAGTAACTGGTTTAGGGTCGTAGTTAGCAATTTTACGGCTCAATTATACCCAACAATGCTCAATGGGATTATAATCTGAAGACATTGCTCTCCATGGCAATCTTGTAACGTCCTCCTATTTCAGATAATCCTGTACAATACGTGCACTGTGGGCAGTAGCATTGCCATCCGGGAACACAATGTTGTTGCCAAATTTGTGCCTTAGCATATGGCAGAAATATCGTCTCCATGTGATCCCTTTAGGAGACGCCATTGACGTTTCCCTGGAGGATATGAAGTGCAGCTTTTCCACCATGATAAATAGTTGCCCAAACGTGTACTGCACCACCTACTGTGGGAAAGAAAGTCTTCTGTAATCTGTTCTCCAGACAAACGATGGACACTAATCCTGCCATCAGTTTTAACAAGCCGGAAACAGGACTCATCTGAAAAGATGACATGTTGCCAGTGTCCTAACTGTAAGTTGGCATACTGTCTTGACAAAGTAACATGGTAACGGCGGTGAATTCTGGTTAATATCGGTTTGCAGATAGCCCTTCTTGCAAAATAACCTTGTTTGGTCAGTCTCCTCAAAAATGTTTACTGTAGTCCAATGACGTTTCAGGATTCTGGATGCAGTACACTGAAGGTACCCTACTGTTCTGGCAAAGTCCGTTTGCTTCCTACCATTCCTGAACAATCGAACAATTTGACGCCCTGACACATAACGAGGCATGACTCTACACCAAGTACAGAGAAATTGTCTGAAGAAAGAGTAGATCTGTTTCGAAAAAGATTATACCAAAAGCACATCATTTTATACAAAACAGGTGTGTGATTTGACGAGCAAATGCTCAAAACAACTTGTATACACCATCAATATAGAACAGTATGCAAACATTTTGGTCAAGATTGTAGAAACCTTGAACTGTTTAGTATATATAGGGCAACAGGATATAAAACAAGAGAAATGAATGAATCAATAAATCTCTTGTGTTTCGTTTAGCGGTGACCACATAATATATAATGCATAAAATACATTAAATAAGAAACTTTCGTCTGTTTTGTTTAACGTGGACTGTGTATATATTAACATAAAATGCTTGAAAGAAAACGGAACTTTGTTTATTAACTCGGACAAATTGCCTTATGATAAAATAAAATCATTGGAACCATTGGTTGTTTTTTAGAGCAGCCACATTGGGCTATCTATTGTGTTCACCTTGGGGAATCAAACCGCGGATTTTAGCGTTATAAGTCCGTAAATCTATCGCCGTCCCACCGAAGGACCCATAGACTTCAGCCTCTATCTGTTAACTAATACAACTTATTGCATAATAAGAACAACTTCATAAAAGAAGAAACCTTAGACACAATATCTTACTAATAAACAGATGAAACAACTGATTAAGTCTCTTCACTAGAACAAAATAGTGTATAATAATACAAAGCACTTGAAGCAAGATACCTTTCGTTGTTTCGCTCAAATTTGAAATATATATAATTCGAAGAAATATCGAAGCAACATATTTCGGGCTATTTTATTTAAATAAGATAATATGTTACTTGAAAGGCTTCGTTAATGGAATATATTTGTCTAGAAAGTTTTTAGGCGACTTTTCGAACTGCTGGTGCAGATCTTAAACAGATTCAATCCATTACAGCACCTTTCAAGTATACCATACTTTCAAATTCGATGACGAGGAACCCACTTTGAGACTAATAATGGTTGGAGACAGCTTGAATGGGTAATGAAGAAAAACTTTAACATAAGTTTAACACAACAGCAAATGTACAACGTTTCGACAAGGTTTTGTCATCATCAGATACAAGTAGTTTACACTGACGCGGATATATATATATATATATACGGTATTGAACAAAGAGGTCACATTACCGGATACTGTTGCAAAACTTAGAAGAGGTATCTTGGCACCCAGGGGTGTTGGTTTATAGTAGCGTTGTTTTGTTCAATTAAGATGGATTTCTTGATTTTTCGTTTGTTTATGTTGGGTTAGTTGTTTAAAATCACTGTGTTTTTAATAGATATGCTATGTTTTTTTGAGTTGTAATGGTGAAAAACATGGGACGGAATGTCATTTACAAATAACATGCAATAACTGCCCAGAATTCTACATCGGAGAAACAGGAAGAAAATTGGAAACCAGATTGACAGAACACAATAAAAAAGGTATTGTGTGATTCTAAATAATTTTTGTTTAGTAACGATTTTAATTTAGGGCCGGGTTTTTGTGAGAATTTAACGTTGATAGGAATATTGTGTTTACTGGCTAGTTTAGTCCAAGTGTGGATAATTCTTGAGCTGGTTCCACGAACAAAAGGTAAACTGCAGTGTAATGTACTGTTGTTGGATTTGTTAGTGTCAATTTTGTTCGTGAGTTGAGTTTTATTATGGGTAATGTTGGAGAGCTTTTCAACTATAACTGGTGGGAATTTATTGGTGTGAATAAAGGAATGTTTTAAGTAGTTAATTTCTTCATTTATGTAGTCCGTTGAACAGAGTCTTGTGGCTGTGTTTATGAGGTTTTTAAGTGTATTGATTTTTTATGTGGTGTCATAA